AACAGGAGCATGGGAAGTTCAAGAAGATGAGGCTGGCACCTCCCTAAGGAATTCACAGTGTTGTGGCTGGCTGGCTTGGGAACTAGGGGTCAGTCTAGTGGGATTTCTTTCCTTAGGTTGTAGCTAATAAACACAACAGAACTGTATTTGCATTGTCTCTTGGAGCTCTTTGGGCTGAACCTGACATATGGTAAAGAAAAAGAAAAGAAATATATAAAGAAATTACTTCCCCCTTCATCACAACAAGTATAAACAATTTCAGTAACTTTTTACCTTGTGTTAAAATACAACAAATGATCTCTTCCCATATCCCATCTCTTATCTATAAACAAATCCTTAAAGCCTCATCATTTCAGTCCTGACCAGCAAAAGTCTATTAAGGGTTACCTTGATGAAATAAACCAACTTTCTTTTACTTCTAACAAGCTTGATCTTTAGTCCCTAATAATGCCCTAGAACTGATTTCTTTTTCTTTTTTCTTTGTCCCTTCTCACAAAATTCATCAAAGCTTTAACAAGCCTCTTTTGTAAATCCAATATAGGAAAATTATCCAGGTCACTCTCTTGGTTTGTTATTTGTATATCTCTTTTAATTATTAAGACATCACCCAGCTTCTTTTGTATGTCCAGTGTGGCATCTTATCCCATATAATTCTTGTAGCCTGTCATTTTTAAATCCACTTTCAGGTCTCAATCTTGTCAGATATAATTTGTTCCTCTTCCATAATATCTTTTAAACATAGTCTACCTATAAAGGCAGACACTCTTAAAATTAACTTCTGGACCCATTGTTCAAAAATATCCTTCAATATATCCAATGTTAAAATATTTTGCTTCATTCTGTATGTAAGTAAAATTTAAGTGTTCTTCTCCTTTAATTATAATCTTGGTTCTTTCTAGTTCCCTCTAATGTCCAATTTTTAAAGTCTTACCTTTTTTTTTTTTAAAGAATTCAAAACAAAAACATTTTCCCATGGGAAGGATTCTTATAATAAATTCCAAGATCTTATTTCAAATTTATCTGGACCCTTAGACCATTTGTAACTTTCTAAAATCAAACTTTTAATCACCCTTTTGGTGTCTATTCAAAAAAAAAAAAAATTAAGTCCTTAAACTTGTATTTAAAACTTATTTTGCTAAGGATTAAAGGAAACTCACCTGGTGCTGTAAAACGTGTTGAACCAAAAGTTCTAATAGCTGAAAAGCAGTTAACAAGCAAGTGATTAGAAAAGTAAGTATGAGAACCCAGTATCCTTTCAAAGGTGCCGACTGCGGTTTGAGCAAGTTGGCTATTCCCTTGTCTCCCAGAGCTCTAAACCCATTGGAGACTGCTGTCTTGCAGTCTCCTCATGAGGAGCAACTGTCTGAAGCACTTGTGGGCAATCTCAAGTCCTCTCCTTGTCCAGAGGAATTACGAAGAGCTGGTCTACTTGTTGGCTCTTCATTTTGCCACAGTCATCAGCTCCGCTTTTCATAGAGCTGTCTTTAGTTCACTATTTCTTCCCCGGAAGTCCCATCAGATGATTAAATTCTGAGTAGGTATGGATAATTAGTGTACCCAATGTATTTAGTACCATTTGTCCCATGATTTTACTAATGCTGCTTTCTAAAAGAAAGAGATTGGGATTCTGGAGTAAACTCTAAACAAAAAGACTAGTGCTTTTACGGAGGCATTTGAGGGTTTTTGTTTTTTAATTCAAAAAATATGGAAGGCGTTTATTTGAACTTTGTGTGGTTTCAATGGAATGACTTCCACCATACTTCGCAGACGGTGGATATATAGTAAATAAATGAAACTGCCAACGCAAGGTTACATGAGGATTATATTTTCAAAGAGAGAAAGAAAGAAAACCACTAGTATCAAAACTAGTTTTCTTTTTAAGTAAAACTTCCCCTTTTATATTGAAGATATTGTATACACTGTAATACAATTCACCCTAGCCCTGACTTTTAAAAACATACCATTTTCCTCTTGAAAACATCCTCCCCAAAACACCTAAACTTAGAAAGCGGAACTGTTAAATATGCTATAAAAATCTCCCCAGATTAAAAAAGTGAGATTTTTCTAAGTGTTTAGACTGTTATGGAGATTAAATTGCAGGTCTCTCTAAGGCGTTTAGATTTTCTATTTATGGAACCTTCTATATGCTGCCACCACCTACTGGTGAGAACAAATAACGTTACTGACAATTGTAACCCTGTGGGTTTAAGGAGCATTTCCCGAAGAAAAGTGTTCTTGTGTGCCACAAATTCTGGGAAACTGAGAGACATCAGTGGGATGTATCAGCTCATTAAAAAGTTCTCTGGCATTGAAATGGGTTATAAGTATAAATAAATAAAAACATTTCTGTTGCTGATGCTCGGTTTGCTTTTCTTAACTGCAAGCTCCTAAATTGGAAGAAAGTCTGTGAAACAGCAATGGAGTCTGGAATCGAGGACTTGCATTTTTAGGATACTAATGCACACTTGAATCACTTGTTCGTTAGGAAAACCATCTCAACTTCAATTTGTTGCTTCCTTCATTTATTATATGTAACATGAACTAATGCTGTGGATTCAAAAGAATACAAAAAGCCAGGCAACAAAAGCCAGCAGTAAAACTGTCTTTTATATAGTTTCTTTCTTTCTGTATCAGTCAACCAGGAGATGAAAAACGAATTCTAATTAAGCAGTTGAAAATCTATTTGAATACAGTAGAATGTATTTCTATTCGAGAAGAAGGAGAAGGAGAAGAAGAAGAGAAGGAGAAGACTTTACCAAGAAAACCCTTAATTTAATAGCTTAATTGTAATAGCAGTTATCATATAAAAGGGAGCCCATCCCAGATATAGTCCGTGTCCCCCCACTTCCCAATATTTTTGGAGACAGGGAAAAGCTGACATCGTCTGAATCACAATGTTTCTGAATTTTGTCAGGAAGCAATTTCTGTGATTCTGCTCCCTGTTATGTGCCTTCTAGAAGGGTTTTAATTAATTTATTTACCATGCAAATAATTCAAAAGTACAAATGAGTATGTGTGATTACTGAGGAGAGGAGATGTTAGCAATTAGTTTTATTATTTTTGTTAGATGAGGGGGAAGGGAACTTTGTTGACTGGTAATTGGTGGCAGCTTAGAGCAGTGTTTCTCAACCTTGGCAACTTTAAGAAGTGTGGACTTCAACTCGCAGAATTCCCCAGCCATCCCCATGGAATTCTGGGAGTTGAAGTCCACACTTCTTAAAGTTGCCAAGTTTGAGGAACACTGGCTTAGAGGGTAGGGCACAGCTATGATGGGAGGCAGTAAGGGAGAAAAAATGACCACTGACTTTTGGTGTATTCTGCTATAAGGTATCAACTCACAAAAGTAGAAGTATGCTTGGGTTAACAGCCTCTGAGTATTGATATGAAACTTAAAAAAATTAAGAGGACACAAAGAAAACTGACTTTAATTTACGTTGTGTTAAAAAGCCTTCAAGTATCCTTGAGGTCATGAAGATAATTAATATGGAAAAGCTGTCCTTCAGATCATGTATGCCTTTCACATTAGGGCATGGGCAACATGAGGTCCCCAGAGTTGCTTCGTTGAAATTTAGTTACAAACTGATAAAAAGCAGCAGCTTAATATTCTGCTTTTGATGGGGTGGCAAGCAAGAAAACCCAAGTAAAATAAGTGGGTTAAGGCTGTTTTAG